TTCTAATTATACGCGTTCAATAAAAATGCTTTCTCTTTTTTAAAAAAAAAATGTTTTAACGGGGAATAAATTTGGCAAACTGGCGTGTCACTAGTTTCCTCTTTCATTATGATGATTAACAAAACAATTTTTTGGAATGAACTTCATCCATTTTCTGTACTGGGCTATTTTCAATGTTTTCATGGCGATTCAGTCATGAAAGAAAAATGTTAAAATTACTGTTGCCGATCGAAATTTTCAAAAATCTATTCCAAGCTGAAAACGCAATGAATAATTTTCAAAAAGGTAAAAAGGCATTGGAATTAATTATACCGCCATCTTGAATCCGCCTTTCAAAATGTCTTTCCATCGGATGACGGCAAGATCGGTGGAACGATTTAAGACCGTATGCGCGTGAATTGCTGCTGTCAGTGAAACAATCGAACCGTCAGCCTATAATTTTCAATTTTCCTTGTCCTCGTTGCAAACGTCACAATAATAAAAGTAAAAAAAAAATAGAAATTATATTCGATATTTCTTCTTTACACTTTCAGAAAATGACGCAATTGATTGACTTTTAATGTTGAAATTTCTTCTTAAACGTTAAACCACTAGAGACCATATTTTACACATTTCTACGTAACGGAATCGTATGGTAGCACATAACTGTCTTTTTTTATGTACTTGATATAGAAAACCCCTGTAATTATTTACTGGGGAATAGATTATTTGACAATTATGATGGGCAGAAAGGTTTTTTTTTTCATTTGAAATCATACATGCATGTTCATCCATATATATATATATATATATATATATATATATATATATATATATATATATATATATATGGATGCACATGCATGTATAAATTCCTATCGTTAGATAGATAGATAGATATAAAAAGGGTCTGAGATAGAAAGATAGAGAGAGAGAGAGAATTAATGTGAATGAACTTGTCACTTAACGAGTAGTGTTATTGCAGTCATGGTGACTTCAAAGTTTCGTGAGCGCATTGTAGTAGTGCCTTCACTCTTCAGGGCTATTGAATTTAGCCAAAAGCTCTGAAGAATGAAGGCATTACTACAATGACCTCAAGAAACCATGACTAAAATAAGACCACTCATTTAAGTGACAAGTTTCTCCACATTAATTCTATTAAAGCGCTATCCGTACATTTTAATATTGAGCACTTTATGACAAAAATCTGCCTTAAAATGCCTTTCCACCAGTATTTTACAGGAAAAGAACCAGTAATTTTGGCACCTAAAAACTCTTACAACTTAATACTCTCTCTCTCTTTATATATATATGTGTGTGTGTGTGTGTGTCGTGTGTGTGTGTGTATGTATTGATGCATGTTTAATTAAGTAATATAGACAAGTTTTGTCTAATTTAAGTAAGTTTCTTTCATATTATCTGATAAGCTTAATAACATTATCATTGAAAGACGAAAGGAAATCACCATATTGATAAATGTTTAAATCCAATCTAAGCTTTCGGCTTACATAAGCCATTATCAAAGATGACAATTACTTTTCAATATATCAACCATTACACGAACAAATCAATAGATTGCATTTAAACATGTATCAATATGGTGATTTTCTTTAGTCCTTCAATGATAGTTATTAAATTTATCAGACAATATGAAAGGCACTTTAGATATGTATATATATATATATATATGCGTGCATTCATGACGTAATAGATATATATATTTGTTTATGACGTAGTATATATATATATATATATATATATATATATATATATATATATATTGATGACGTAGTAGATATATATATATATATTTGCTGATGACGTAGTCGATATATGTACATATATTTGTTGATGATGTAGTATATATATATATATATATATATATATATATATATATATATATATATATTGTTGTAGTAATATACATATATATATATATATATATATATATATATATATATATATATATATATATTTGTTGATGAAGTAGTAGATATAGAATTTATGTTATTTGAAATTTAACCAATAAAATCCGGAGTTTTCTTTTTGTCTTAACTTATTCATAGGGTTTTCTTTATAATTTTATTTATTTACCTGTCTCTATCTCTGAACTGAGGTATTATGATTATTTACATTATTTGCATTATTCAAACTGTTACCATCATCTACATTCACAATATATACATGTTGGATGGATATTATGCTATTACACAATTTCGACAATTTTGCTGTTTTATTTATATATATATATATATATATATATATATATATATATATATAATTGAGTAATTCATCGAGTCCAGAAGAAACCTCAACAGAATGCCGAAAGCACTGGACGGCCGTTTCGTCTTATATCAACAGTATACTCCACTCATCAGCTGTGTGCATCCACTACCGTACAATTACATTATCAAGCAAACGTTTTACCAACAGTACCAACAAGATGTGTAGTATATTTACTAACCATCATCTAGTATGTCATTGCCATACAAACAAAATCGGTCGAGTGATTAAGGTAAGCAATACGTGGCGCCAATATGTGAGGGACGCATGGTGAATGGGTTGTTGTATTAGAATGACTTTGTTTTTTCTTTGAAATTTCTTTCCACTATTAGAGTGCGTCTTCCAAACTGGTGCGTTGGTTGTCATAGCGATATTTGCGTTTCTTATTTCGGCTCGGCGCGAATTTTCCCGAGCACGAATTTTTCCAAACTGCACTGTCTTGCAAACCAGAAAATACAGTAACAGAGCAAGCATATCAGTACATTTGAATAAAACATGCTTGAATATATGCACCTGTGTCTGTGTGGGTGTCTGTGTGTGCATGTGTGTATGAAAATGATGACACAAACCGAAAAATTTATTAACGACGCGTTTCGCCAGAGCTTCTGATGTCTTTGGCTTCTTCAGGTTAGAATAAAAGAAAGACAAAACTGTGGGCGAGAGAAAATGTTTTGGTCAGACACTTTCTAGAGTTTCCGGACTTTAGATGTGATAAGGCACCTAATTTCATTTGATTTATGATTCTAACATATCCTTAGAGATCCCACGGCATTTTCCCTCGCAGACAGTTTTGTCTTTCTTTCATTTTAACCTGAGGAAGCCAAATAGAGCAGACACTCTGGCGAAACGCGTCGCTAATAAATTCTACATTTTTTCTCATCATCTTTCTTTTGTATATTTATATATATATATATATATATATATATATATATATATATATAAATGAAATGGAAATTTACACTTTAGACGGGTAGTATTACGTTTATGTAATTTAACAGAGATGATAACGAGGAGTGGTGTGAGAGACATGGTCGAGTTTAGAGAGGGTTTATTTTTCTATCATACTTAATATAAAACCCTCTCTGAACTCGACCATGTCTCTCACACCACTCCTCACTACCTTCACTGTTAAAGTACATAATACTACCCGTCAAAAGTGTAAATTTTCATTTCATTTTTCATTTCACCTTTTAAAAGTGATGTCTGATGATCCAGGGTACTTTATACGGTTTCTGGTGAAATAAACTATTACAATGGAGCCTTAAAGTGGTTTGTTTTTCTTTAAATTATTATCTCTGAATTTACATTGAGTTCTCAGGATTTTATTCTCCTTGGGACTACCCATACAGATTACATATATATATATATATATATATATATATATATATATATATATATATATATATATATATATATATATATATATATATATATAATATATATATATATATATAATATATATATATATATATATATATTTGTTACATTGAAGTCAACACTCAAAGAAGACAGGCGGTTTCATGCTGAACGCAGTAGTCAGGCTTGACGATTGCCTCCAACATGAAAAACAGCCTTTCGCCTCTGAGTTTGACTTCATATTCCTTATATTATATATATATATATATATATATATATATATATATATATAAAGGGTGTTCCAATAACTTTGGACCAATTTTAAGTGTGAATTAATTTTAAGCGTCTAATGATTTTTTTTCTTTTTCGCGGATATTTGGGCGATATTATTTTCCCCACATAAATGGCATGACTTAAATAGCATGATCCAATAAAAAATAAATTAATTTACCACTGACTTTGATCCGTCTTAATGAAACACTCTTTACGGCCTGACGATTGCGTCCAACAAAAACAGTCTGTTGCCTCTAAGTGTTGATTTCAATGTTCACTTTTATATTTATATTTACATACGCTCTATACGATATTGAGCACTTTATCCCATAAATATAGCACACCTTAAAACTATATTTCATCACACACACACACACACATATATATATATATATATATATATATATATATATATATAAATTAGGATAATAATTTTCCATCGAAAAACATATAGGGACACCCAGCATTAAATTTAAATTCTTGACGTCCGATGTGAGTCAATATTTTATTTAGATTATTGCATTTTCATTTTAATATTTTAGTTTTTATTTTTACATTTTTTTCAGTGTGATTGTTTATTTTATTTTATTTTATCATCGCTATTTTTTATTTTATTTTATTCACTATTTTTTATTTATCGCATTGTAATAAAAGTAATTTTGTGAAAAAATATATATATAACTGACTCTTTCTATTAAATCAGTGCCCGTCCAAAGAAACTCCGTAGGAGGAGACGCGTTACTGAGCAGTTTTTTTTCGATTTTGTCATTCGATTACCCACTATCATTTATACATCATATCTTACACATGTATGTATGTGTGCACATGCGCGGAAAAATATGCTAATTGGCCACGCTAAATATCATGCTTTACCCCCTTTTGAAAAAGAAAATATAAAGTCTTTTTCCTTTTTTTTTTTATGTCCCCCTCTTTCTCATCGGTTTTAGTTTCTCTTCCTCTTTTGCATCTCTCTCTCCAATTTTATAGCCACTCGGGAAAATTCGTGCCGAGCCGAAATAAGAAACGCAAATATCGCTATGACAACCAACACACCAGTTGAGAGCGCTGCGAGATTACGTTAATATTTTTAGCGTCTTTCGCACAACGTCATGACCAGGGAAAGCGACATCCATCCTGATGCCATTTCTCATATCGCAAAAGTTCAGACTAACCGCGTTTCAAACGCCAGTATCTCGTTAAGATAAACCCAACCGAACAAACGACCTGGCCGTTCATTTCGCTGAATATCAATGTCCTTGCTACAAAAATGATTATCATTGGTTTTATTTTTTTGTATTTCTTTTAAATCGAATTTACCCCAAGCAAGGCAATAAAGCCACTAAGACACAAGGGTTACTAGGTATGGAATAATTAGAAAACAACAAAATATTATGGAGAAGCGAGAACAGACGAATAATCAGAAAGACAATAGATAACGACTGACATTGCATTTAAATTTTTGAAACCAAAGTGGGCCGGAAAGCATCGAGCCGGACGGAGAGTTCCACAGTGCGAAAAAAAGAAACTGTTAGCATAGAACCTATGGCTACATCGAGCCAATTCCACTGTAAATTGATGAGATCTTGTTGCTACTTTAGTCAGTCAGTTATGTGTCATGCGTGATACAGGCGATCGTCTATGTTTCGATACATGACTAACGAGATAGGTTTTTCCCGCAGTTGGTTGCCATTTCATTTAGCGGTAGACCAGTTGCCATCCAAGGGTATAGAACGCGGTCTGTCCTGCTATTTACCCAAAGCTGGGTGGGATTCATACCTTTACTAGGGTATTAGCACCTGAGTGAATATAATGGATTCGACTGGAACTCGAACACTGCCTTCCTCAATCCGAGCCACTATCCACTACTCCACCGTGTTTCCACTTTAATCCGAGCTACTATCCATTAATCCACCGTGCCTCCTCCTTAATCCGGGCCACTATCCATTGCTCCACCGTGACTCCTCCTTAATCCGAGCCGCGATCCATTACTCAACCGTGCATCCTCCTTAATCCGAGCCACTATCCATTACTCCACCGTACCTCCTACTTAATCTGAGCCACTATCCGTTATTCCACCGTGACTCCTCCTTAATCCGAGCCGCAGTCTATTACTCCACCGCGCCTCCTCCTTAATCCGAGCCGCTATCTATTACTCCACCGTCAGTCCTCCTTAATCCGAGCCACTATCTATTACTCCACCGTGACTTCTCCTTAATCCGAGCCACTATCCATTGCTCCACCGTGCCTCCTCCTTAATCCGAGCCGCGATCCATTACTCCATCGTGCCTCCTCCTTAATCTGAGCCGCTGTCCATTACTCCACCGTCCTTCCTCGGTAATCGGAGCCACTATCCATTACGCCACTGTGCCTCCTCCTTAATCCGGCCCACTATCCATTACTCCCCCGTACATCCTCCTTAATCCGAGTTGCTATCCATTACTCCACCGTGCCTCCTCCTTAATCCGAGCCGCGATCCATTGCTCCACCGTGACTCCTCCTTAATCCTAGCCGCGATCCATTACTCCACCGTGCCTCGTCCTTAATCCGAGCCACTATCCATTGCTCCACCGTGCCTCATCCTTAATCCGAGCCACTATCCATTTCTCTACCGTGCCTCCTCCTTAATCCGAGCCACTGTCCATTACTCCACCGTGCCTCCTCCTTAATCTGAGCCACTATCCATTGCTCCACCGTGACTCCTCCTTAATCCGAGCCGCGATCCATTACTCCACCGTGCCTCATCCTTAATCCGAGCAACTATCCATTACTCCAACGTGCCTCCTCCTTAATACGAGCCACTAACCATTGCTCCACCGTGACTCCTCCTTAATCCTAGCCGCGATCCATTACTCCACCGTGCCTCCTCCTTAATCCGAGCCACTATCCATTGCTCCATCGTGCCTCCTCCTTAATCCGAGCCGCGATCCATTACTCCACCGTGCCTCCTCCTTAATCCGAGCCACTATCCATTGCTCCATCGTGCCTGCTCCTTAATCCAAGCCGCGATTTATTACTCCACAGTGCCACCTCCTTAATCCGAGCCACTATCCATTGCTCCATCGTGCCTCCTCCTTAATCCGAGCCGCGATCCATTACTCCACCATCCCTCATCCTTAATCAGAGCCACTATCCATTTCTCCACCGTGCCTCCTCCTTAATCCGAGCCGCTATCCATTACTCCACCGTGCCTCCTCCTTAATCCGAGCCGCGATCCATTACTCCAGCGTGCCTCGTCCTAATAATCCATTGCTCCACCGAACCTCCTAATCCGATTTCTCCACCGTGCCTCCTCCTTAATCCGAGCAAGCCGCTGTCCATTACGAGCCACGATCCAACCGTGCCGATCCTCCACCCTTCGTCCTTAATCCGAGCCACTATCCATTGCTCCATCGAGCTCCTCCGAGCCGCGATCCATTACTCCACCGTGCCTCGTCCTTAATCCGAACCACTATCCATTGCTCCACCGTGCCTCCTCCTTAATCCGAGCCGCGATCCATTGCTCCACCGTTCCTCCTCCTCGATCCCGATCCCTCCACCATCCCTTAATCAGAGCCACTATCCATTGCTCCACCGTGCCTCCTCCTTAATCCGAGCCGCGATCCATTACTCCACCGTGCCTCATCCTTAATCCGAGCCACTATCCATTACTCCACCGTGCCTCCTCCTTAATCCGAGCCACGATCCATTGCTCCACCGTGCCTCCTCCTCTAATCCTCCTAATCCATTCCATTAGCCTCCTCCTTAATCCGAGCCGCGATCCTTTGCTCCGTTCCTCCTCCTTAATCCGTGCCACTATCCATTGCTCCACCGTGCCTCCTCCTTGCGAGCCGCGATCCTCTCCACCATCATCCTTAATCCGAGCCACTATCCATTGCTCCCATTGCTCCTCCTTAATCCGAGCCGCGATCCCTCCACCGTTCCTCATCCTTAATCCGAGCAACTATCCATTGCTCCAACGTGCCTCCTCCTTGCCGAGCCCTCCATTGCTCCACCGTCCTCCTCATCCTATCCATTGCTCCATCGTGCCTCCTCCTTAATCCGAGATCCATTGCTCCACCGCCCTCATCCTTTCCGAGCAACTATCCACTCCAACGTGCCTCCTCCTTAATCCGAGCCACTAACCAACTATCCATTGCGATCCCACTCCATGCCTCCTCCTTAATCAGAGCCACTATCCATTGCTCCACCGTGATCCATTCCGATTGCGATCCATTACTCCACCGTGCCCATCTTAATCCTTAATCCATTACTCCAACGTGCCTCCTCCTTAATACAGCCACCTAACCATCCACCATAATGCGATCCATTACTCCATCGTGCCTCCTCCTTAATGAGCCACTATCCATTGCTCCACCGTGCCTCATCCTTAATCCGAGCAACTATCCATTACTCCAACCTTAATACGAGCCACTAACCATTGCTCCACCTGACTCCTCCTTAATCCTAGCCGCGATCCATTATCTCGTGCCTCCTCCTTAATCTGGAGCCACCATCCATTGCTCCACCGTGCCTCCTTAATCCGAGCCAATCTCCAACGTGTACGAGCCACTAACCATTGCTCCACCTATGCTGAAAATCGTGCCTCCTTGAGAATATCTAGATACCTTAATAGATCGATTACTGTTAATCCAAACAATTAGCATGAATGAACCATCCAGAAAAGTCAGAGCTTAATCCGAGCCACTATCATTGCTCCAATTTTATAGCGGCTTAAGTAGCCGCGATCCATTCTCCACCGTGCCTCGTCCATCGAGCCACTATCCATTGGTCACCGTGCCTCCTCCTTAATTATTACAGATTCTTCTTTAAATGTTATTTATAATTTCTAAATAAATAGCGTCCATTACTCCACCTGCCTCCTCCTTAATACGAGAATCCATCCACCGTGCCTCCTCCTTAATCCGAGCCGCGATCCATGTAAAATGGGCTCCAATGGTAGACCTGTCGATATGTGAGCCACTATAGATTCTGACCGCTGTCCAAATTGTTTAGAGCCGCGACGACACGTGCCTCAAGTCCTTAATCCAAACTATCCATTGCTCCACCGCAGCTGGCCTTAATCCGGAGCCGCGATGGATTTTCATCCATTATCCAACGTGCCTCCTCCTTAATACGAGCCACCATCCATTACTCCATCTATATATCAAGCTGCGAGACTCCACCATGCCTCGTCCTTAATGAGCCAATCCATTTGCTCCAAAATGGTTTCCGGCGTGACAATCCGAGCCACTATCCATTGCTCCATCGTGCCTCCTCCTTAATCCGAGCCGCGATCCATTACTCCACCATCCCTCAGCAACGCCACTATCCTTGCTCCACCACTCCTCCCCGGAGCCGCGATGGCTTAATGAAATCCAATATTTATCGACATTTGCCTCCTCCTTAATCATATCCATTGCTCCATACTCCTTTAATCCGACGTGGATAGCCACTATCCATTGCTCCATCGCCTCCTACTTAATCCGGGGACATCCCCTCAAATCTACTCCTCCTTAATTCAGTTTCTATCCAACTCCCAGGCCTCATTTTAATCCACCGGTCAGATATCCATTTGCTCCACCATCAGCGATCCAGACACTCCGCTTAATCTGAGCCAATCCATTGCTCCATCATTAATCCGAGCAACTAAAACCGTGCCTCATCCTTAAATCATTACTGAGATTGACGGATCCTTAATCGAGCCTTATGAACATTGCTCCACCGTGACTCCTCCAAAAGAACGGTTTTTCCTTGACACCGCTATTATTTTAACTATCTTCACTCCATTGGCAATGTTTATTGTTTTAAAGCCACGATCCATTTAGAATGGTCCTTAATAAAGCCCTAAATACATGATGAAACTCCCTCCTTTATCAAACCACTATCCATTTTATTTTTTTTGAGAATCCCTCATCCAAAATCAATAAATACTATCCAACTCCACCGTTTATCCTTTTTGAGATGAGGTATTATGTACATCATTACATTATTCGGACCAACCTATTGTCCTCATCTTTGTCGCCATATTTATTAATTACAACGTTTCACCGTGCCTCATCCTTAATTGTACGCCTCCGCCCTTAATTTAGGATCCATTACTCCACCGTGCCTCCTCCTTAATGTCGATCCACTAACCCTTTATTCCGCTCACTTAATGGAGCCACTATCCATTTCCATCGTGCCTCCTCCTTAATATGATTTTGGTTTTATTATCCGAGCCAATCCAAGCATCACTTTTTAAAAGCAATATCCATTGCGGAGGTGCCTCCTCCTTAATTAAAATAATCCATTGCTCCGGTGTCCAAGGTGCCTCCACCGTGCCTCCTCCTTAATTTTGCCACTATCCATTGCTCGTCGTTTTTTTTCCGAGGGGATCCATTACTCCACCGTGCCTCATCCTTAATCCGAGCAACAAATCCATTACTCCCGAGCCACTTAATCAATCCATTACTCCACCGTGCCTCCTCCTTAAAATAAGTTTCCATTGCCTGTTTACACTGGAAATTTCTGCTGGCTCCTCAATGGGGATCAGTCATTGCTCCATCGTGCCTCCTCTCTAATATCAACAACCCTCGTCGATTCCAACATTTCTGTTAATCAGAGCCGTAAAATTAAAATTTTCCTTTTATGTCTATTTTATCACCGTGCCTCAATGATAATTTGAGCGCCCAGTTCCAGTGTTCCCATGACTTAAGGTACGACTATCGAACTGTTTAACCCGAGCCAAATTAACCACCATGCCTTCTGGTAACCGAGCCAGTTCATTTGTTGTTTTTCCTTAATCCGAGAAACAAATTATTCTTTATTTGCCTATTCTCTATTCGATTTAATCCATATCTACGTGAAACCTAAAGTAAACAGATCACGTGACAGAATCCATTCTCCAAAAACCTTTCCTTAATTTAGTATTTTTGCCAATTTCAATATTCCTGATCGGGCGTCCTCATTTTATTTCTGATTCCCTTAATCTTTAAATCCATTCTCCACCTCGGTGTGCAAACGTCCTGTTTGAAGGATCTTTATCCCTCATCCTAAATCCGAGCCACTATCCATTTCTCCACCGTGCCTCCTCCTTAATGAGAACGATCCATATCCACCGTTGTAATCGAACCACTATTATTAATTTCGATTCTATCCATCCTTAATCCGAGCCACTATCCATTTCTCCTAATGTTAGTTCAGTGAAAAGGATCCAGGACGACCTTGCCTAATTTTCGACTCTACATTTCCACCATGGCTCCTCCTTAATCCGAGCCAATCAAAATGGCGAAAATTGAGAATATCTAGATTATCGATAATCCAAACAATTAGCATGAATGTTTAGAAATGTCAGACGAACCAATTTTAACGGACTGTCTTCCAATTGCCAGGTCAGGACCATACAGATTCTTTTTAAATGTTATTTTTTTTCTAAATAAATAGCAGGAGCATTTTATGTGATAGCAAAATTGTTTGGGCGAATCCGACGTAGTTAGATTCGGAAAAAAAAAAACTTTTTTAGCAGCTGGCCTAGCGATGGATTTTATTTATATCTTATCCATCTATATAAAGCAGACGAAGCTGCCTTAGTGAGGGAATCGTATAAATGGTTTCGGCAGACAACGCCGAAGAAAATCCAGATTCGGAGTCCCTCAGCAACGCCCTGACCACTCCTGCGATGGCGATGAAACAATATTTATCGACATTTACCTTTTCATTGTACCATTTTAGCGACGTGGATAGGAGTCGCCTACTTCGGGGACACAAATCTCTCCTTCAGTTTCTACCAACCCAGGTTTTGTGCACCGGTCAGATAGAAAGCATCAGTCTAGACACTGCGCCTGAAACATCATTCATAACAAAATCCCACAATCTCCTGAGATTGACGGATGCTTAATCGGCAAGCATGGACATTAGTGACAAAAGAACGGTTTTTCCCTTGACACCGCTATTATTTTAACTATCTTCACTCCTTGGCAATGTTTATTGTTTTAAAAAGCGATGATTAGAATGGTGATAAAACCTAAATACATGATGAAACTGAATTTATACATTTTATTTGTTTTTGAGAATTGACAACAAAAATAATAAATACTATTAACTGTTTATATTTTTGAGATGAGGTATTATGTACATCATTTACATTATTCGGACTATTGTCCTCATCTTTGTCGCCATATTTATTATTACAACGTTTCGGCCGTTGTACGCTCCGCCCTTCTTTAGGTGGTTGGAATGTCGAACTTAACCCTTTATTCCGCTCACTGGAGTAGGCTTTCATCATATGTTTTGGTTTTATTACAATTCTAAGCATCACTTTTTAAAACAATCAACATTGCGGAGGAGTGAAAGTAGTTAAAATAATAGCGGTGTCAAGGAAAAAACCGCCCCTTTTGACACTCGTTTTTTTTGGGGGGAGGGGAGAGGTACGAGATTACAAATTTGCCGCTTAATCAACATGTGTACACACTGTGTAAAATAAGTTTCCAATATGTTTACACTGGAAATTTCTGCTGGCTCTCAATGGGGATCAAGTCATTGCAAATCTCTAATATCAACAACCCTCGTCGATTTCAACATTTCTGTTTCCGTAAAAATTAAAATTTTTCTTTTATGTCTATTTTATCACCGTTTTACAATGATAATTTTTGTCGCAGTTCCAGTGTTCCCATGACTGAAGGTACGACTATCGAACTGTTTGTTATTCGCTAAATTAACCTCTTCTGGTACTCAGTTCATTTGTTGTTGCTTTTTACTTAACCCGAAACAAATTATTCTTTATTTGCCTATTCTCTATTCGATTTAATCTAATATCTAATGAAACCTAAAGTAAACAGATCACGTGACAGAATCCTCTAAAAACCTTTCTTAGTATTTTTGCCAATTTCAATATTGCTCTGATCGGGCGTCTCATTTATTTCTATTATCTTTAAATCTTCTACTCGGTGTGCAAACGTCTGTTTGAAGGATCTTAGTGCTCCACTTATTATGAGAACGACCTATACTTGTATTTATTATTTCTTCGACAACTTAATGTTAGTTCAGTGAAAACGAGTTTTAATTTTCGACTCTACATTCAAGTCAAAATGGCGTCGCAGCTTCGATTACCTGCTGACAGCAATGTCAACACCAGAAACGGACTGTCTTCTTCCTGCCATGATTACTTCAAATCGTTTTTTTTTCAGGACACGGCTTTTATGATTGCTTTCTTTCGCATCCGACGTACAGCGCGGAAGAAAAAAAAAAGATTTTTTCGCTTCGTCTATTTATTCTCCATTTAAAGGAACCATGAATGTGAATCGCTATCGCCATGACAATTAACCAGGAACTGGGTCTCAGTTTGCGAAGTTTAAATTAAATGCAATGATCTTCCACTTGAATTTATAAGTCGATGTTTAAATTCGGCCAAGGAATTGTTACGCGTCTCGTGTATTGGTCGACACCAAATTTAAAACAATTTCTTTAATATGCTCGATTTAATATGTGGAATTAGATGAATTGAACGTGATTGAAATAAAGCTTACAGAAATATCGGTCTGTCTTGTGTATAAGTCGATGTTTGAATTGGTTCAAGGAATTGTCACGCGTCTCGTGTATTGGTCGACACCAAATTTAAAACATTTTTTTAATATGCTTGGATTAATATGTGGAATTAGATGAATTGAACGTGATTGAAATAAAGCTTACAAAAATATCGGTCTGTCTTGTGTATAAGTCGATGTTTGAATTGGATCAAGGAATTGTTACGCGTCTCGTGTATCGGTCAATACCAAATTTAAAACAATTTTGGCAATGGCAAGTTATTATTTACATGATATACACTAGGATTATTATCCCCATCTTTGTTGTTATTATCACAATGTTTCGACCTTCATTATATAGATATGTGTAATTTTCAAGCATATCTTGTCTTGTTCTTTCTAATTATCTTTCTAATTTCTAATTTCTATTGCTCGTCCTGCTTCCACTGAGTTCAAGTAAATACTGCTCGTCCCAGAGATTGAACCCACAATTACGATGTTCCCAAATTCTTGAACCAACCCTTTAATCCAAAAGACTTTTGTCTAGAGAATTTTTCAACTTTCCATCTGAAAAGTTTGTTTCTTTAAGAGTTTCTTTATGACCATAATATAAATGCCAGAAGTGTGGATCGAACCCAAGATGCTAGCACTGATCTACGAGATTAACTTGCTATCCGTCAGAATGGAATCATTCTAATTCCAGTCAGAAACGTCTGTGATTCTCCGGCACAAAGGCATGGACGTAACCCTCATCTCATTTCAGCCTACACCATTTATATTATTGTTATCCAATTACTGACATAGCCTAATCTGGTCAGGAAAGAATAATAGTGATTCTGTAAAAGTTCATTATAATGAGCAAAATGGCTGCCGTCATCACCGTTGTTAGAATGAAGAGAGAAAAGGGTAGAGAGTATGGTCTAATAGTTACTTTGGTAATAACGTTGGCCTTGTCATTTTTTATTACTGTTATCGAAGTCAAGAAAAGAAGGCGAGATTTAAAAAAAAACAAGTGAT